AAAAAAAAAAAATTCAAATCAAATGTATGTATTAAAAAAATTGTGTATTTTTATTAGTGATGGGAAATATAGAAAAGTAACTACCGATCTATTCGAACTATTCGATAATCATTCAAAAAACATTCGAATAGTTTTCAAACTATTTGCTAGTCTATTCAAATAGTTTTAAAATTATTTAATAGTTTATACTAAAAATAAACTATTCGGTTGTATAAACACAATTCGAATAGTTTAAAATATTCGAAAATGCCCATCACAAATTTTTATACTTTAACGGCAAATTACCCATAGTGGCTGTGAATTTTTTTTTATTATTTTATGTGGAATTTAAAATTTTTTAATCATATTATTTTCAAATTTAATACAATAAACTAAAAATCACTAAAAGCGCTGACGACAACATCCCAAGTAATTAAAAATAATATAAAAAGGCGCTGATTTTCAGAGAGAGAGAGAGAGAGAGAGAGCACTTTTAAATCTTTAAATTCAAAACAGAATTCAGAATTCTTTTAACCAAGTTTATTTTTCTTAACTAGCCGCGACCACGTGTTATAGTGACACATATTAGTGCAATGCTTATTTCAATTTCTATATTTAAATCTTATTTTTCTATCTTTCTGAAAATTTGGAAGTCTAAAAGGCAATCATTGAAAAAGACGTTGGACATTTTTGAAAGTCACTGAATATTTTGAAATTAAAACACAAAGTAAGTAAATTTACATCAACCCAATTATTTAGAATTAATAATATGAATAAATAACAATAAAGCAATAATCACTTTTAATTTCTAATGGTATTTCTTATAATTTGTTCGCACTTTATACATATACATATTTCAAAATCTCGAAAGTCGGGTTGCCTCAGTGTCCTATTAATTAGTTTTTTATTTCTCAATAGAGCGGATCTATATTTATTTCTTTATATCTACTTGTCTTTATTGTTCTAAACCTTACATGATCTACTAGTTCCTTATTCATATCCTGATTAAGATAAAGTATGTCAAATGAAAAAGGGATATAAATATAATTTCTCATAAAAAAATTGTGTTGATCCATACACTTTTCAATAAGTTATAGCATTTTAAAATAAAAAATGTAAAGTATAAAATATAAAATCGAGAATTTTCACACAAAAATAGCATTCGGTAGCCATTTTAACCGTGAAGATAAAATAAAGTCCGAAATTTTTTTTTTCCATAATAAAATACATTACATTATTTTTAATTTAAGATATAGATAAAAGTGTCAGACTTTCCGCAACACTTTCAAAAGTTAGGTTGAAAAAGTAAATTTTTTATGAAAAAGTTGTCATTTTGAATGCCCCCTGTAGGTAGGTAAAGAGTCAGATTTATAAAAAAAATATACCAAATGATAGTTAAAGACATCATGCATCCATAAAAAAAAATAATTGTATTGATCCATACATCTTTCAAAAAGTTATAGTATTATAAAGTTAAAAATATAAAAAAGGATTTTTTTTTCATAATAAACTATATTACATTACCTTTAATTTAAGATATATATAAAAGTGTTAGACTTTCCGGAACACTTTCAAAAGTTAAGCTGACAAAGTTATACTTTCTATATGCATTTTTTATATTTGAACTCCTCCTGTATTAAGGGAAATGTTCCGATTAAAAAAAATAGTAAGTTGAATGAAAAAAAGATATAAATATTATTTCTCATAAAAAAATGATATTGATCCATACAATTTTTAAAAAAAATGATAGCATAAAAAAGTTAAAAATGTTTTTTTTTCCATAATAAAGTATATTACATTAGCTTTAATTTAAGATATATATAAAAGTGTCAGACTTTCCGGAACATTTTCAAAAGTCAAGTTGAAAAAGTTAATTTTTTGAGAAAAAGTTGTCATTTTAAACCCCTTATTTGTGGGAAGGTAAAGGATACATTATGTATCTATTAAAAAAAATTATATTGATTTGTTCAATTTTGAAAAAGTTATGGCAGTTTTAAGTAAAAANAGAAAAAGTTGTCATTTTAAACCCCTTATTTGTGGGAAGGTAAAGGATACATTATGTATCTATTAAAAAAAATTATATTGATTTGTTCAATTTTGAAAAAGTTATGGCAGTTTTAAGTAAAAAAAAATAAAAAAATGTAGAAAATTAGCGATTATTAAATATGTAATTTTTTTGGAGATTTCTCCCATTTACGGGGAATGAGGAAAATTTTTTTAATTTTTGAGGGTAATGTCTTCGAATAGATACGATTTGTGATCTTTTGACGTATCATTGAAAGAAATAGGTTCGGTGAGAGCTGAGAAAAAGTGGTAACAGGCACAAAAAAGAAACACTCATCATAGTAAAACTAATACTTTCTCAGCTTCGTACCGAAGTTAAAGTTGATTAATATTAATCTTATTTTTCGATTAATTAAGCGGTTAATAAAAAGTGAGTTACCTGTATATATTAAACATATTTATAATAGTTTGTTGCATAGTTAGTCATCGAAGTAACAGTTACTGATCCAAAGTTGGAGCTGTACTGACGATTTAGCTTGTTTTTTATTTGTTTTTATCTTTTTTATCTTATTATTCATTTATTTTTTTGGTCATGTAAAAAAATTAGTTAACAAATTATTTTTATCAACATTAGGTAATATTTTAATCAACTGATTATTAATCAAACATTTTCTTTAACTTCACTCTTACTCCATTATTCTATCATTTTAGCTATTTCGTTGCAGTACGCTACTCAGTATGTTAGGCGTTTATTTTTACTTTTTAAGGAATTTTTGAGGAATAACCTATGACATTAGTCAGTACTAACAACTTATAATGTGTGATAACAATAGACTATGATTAAAATTATTCAACTCTTGATGACTGAATTGAAGATTTAAATTTAAAATTTTGATTTTTGATTAGTATACAAGGGAAAAATGTGCTACATTTTCTAAACAATTTTAATATATAGTATATTAATAAATAAATGTATAAATTAATAACAATTTTAATACGATGTGTTTATTTATGTGTGTGTCCGTCTTTTTTTCTTAGTTTTCACTAAACCACTTATTTTCAATGACACATAAAAGGTCAAAAATCATATTTAGTTGAAGACAATACCCATAAAAATTAAATAGTTATGATTTTTGAAATCAATTAATTTTGGCATTACTTTCGTTGCAAAGCTGAGAAGGTATTGATTATGACATGATGTATTTTTTTTATAACTCTCCATGGAAATTCTAAGCTCACATTGGACCAATTTTAAGATAAATACATCAAAAGAACACGATTTTAATCTAGTTGAACCTAATGTTGTCGAAAATTTGGAAAAAACTCTCTCGATTTTAAAAATTTAGAAAATCATATTTAATTTAAAAAGATATTTTATCTGAAGTTGTTTTTAAACTAGAATTTAGTTTTAACTTAAGTTATTCAATTACCTTTATGAAAAATATATTTTACAGTAAACAAAATTATATGTCGTTTTATTTAATTTAAAAATAGAGTTTTAAAAACAATTTGGTTTCCTAGAACAATTTGTTCTTCTGTACTATACAATTACTTTGGTCATCAGATAAGCAAAATTATTATTATTAAATGCATAAGATAATAGTAACAAGAAACAAAGTTTGATAAGGAATCAAGTAGAAACAGTAGAGTAGTTAACAAGAAAGTTAAACTTGATCAGCAGATAGCATCAAACAGCATCACGAGACTTAAACTAACGGGAATAATAAACTTGAGATAATATAGAGCATTCACACAATGTTAGGAACGAAAGGCTGAGTATTTACGTCTTCACATAATGCGACGTATTCCGACTGGAACTCAATTATAATTGTGATCTTTTTACTTTAAACACTAATTAAATATCTTTTCAAATATCTATAACATTCTTGTAGCCATTCAATAGCTCGCATATGAATGAAAATAAACACTAAGATGTAACAAGATATTCTATCTTATACAGATTCATATAACTAGGTCAATATCTATTCAACAATAAATGTTTTTTTTGTACTCATTACTTGGTTTTATTTTTTTTGAACGAATTTTCTATTGAACGACAAATGCATGTGTACTTATTTCAAGCTGTTGACATTCCTTAAAAGTAATTCTTAAAAATAAAATAAAAATACGTAGATTGCCCTGAGAAATATTTGTGTGAACTAAAATAAAGAAATAATTAAAATTTAAGACAAAAAATACTCAATTAAAAAAAAATATTAACTCGATTACAAAATAAAACGCTGTCAGGATTGATTTAATTTAAATTATTTGGTTCTCGCGTAAAAAATATCTCTTGATAAATCACTTCAACATTTTTATTAAAATTACTAGGTACATAGTTTACTATAGATTAATATAATATGAATAAAAATCATTATTTGGAAATAAAAAAGTGCTCTCAAACTTTATAGAAGTTGATATCAACCATTCTTAGTTATTGATAAATATCACTCATTTAAGTGCTTCTTTAAAGTACTTAGTGATGAATTCATCTACTTAAACCATTCTCTATAACAATTAGGTCAAGTATTTTGTAAAGTATTATAGTTTTCGGTTACAAACTTAAGAAACATAAAGATTCTTCAAAAGTCGTTCACATTTTCGACGATAAAGGCTGACTTTGCTCAAGCAAAAGTAAATCCAATGTTCCTCTAGATTTGTTAAGTGCTTCACATCGTTACTCGAAAAGTTTTCTTTTAAACAATGAATCTTATTTTTCGCGTTTATTTAATTTGTTCATTTTTCTAAAAATAATAGAAAGCGTATTATATTTTCAAATAAAAACATTATTTTTGAAAAATAATGTCCGAGATAATACTAACGCACCGTTTTAAAATAATGCTTATGAAATAGAGTCCATTTATACGGTTATTTAAATATTTCAACTTTAGCAATCATTTTTTGTACATATCAATCTGTATCTGTATTCAAATAACAACTTTATCGTTACAGGAAAGTTTTAAAAAAGTGGATGGGTAATTGGTGTACACGGATACAAGTTTTAATAAAATTATGAGTTAATGCACAAAAAGGCGTTTATTTTTATACATTTACAAAATTATAATAAAAAAATCAAACGAAAAATGCCTTACTCATATACAAACAATCATCTAAGATGCATTGATCATTATGAGTGGTATTTGCGTTTAAATTGCACTAGGTCAGCCCTGATTATCCGAGAAAATACAGTTAATTTCTCCTTTAACATATTTAAATTACAAAAAAAAAATAATAACTTTATGAATATTATCTATGTATATAATAATAATATGTATAAACAAATCTATATAAACATCAACAATCCACAGCAACTATATGTTTGTGGAATAACTTTATACATAAGAATAATTAATAAATTGGTAAATCAACGTCATTAATTTGTAATTTTACACAAAATACCAATTAAAATCTATTTAAGTACTATAGAATACATACTGCAAGGATCTTACATTTATTAACCGTTCAAAATATTCAGTTATTGTTTAATAAATTGGTTGTTAAAATAAACAATCTTTAACGATTTTCTATAAGTTATTTTAGAGATAAATTTATTATAAAATATTATTATTGTCTCAACATTTATAAAATCTTTATAGTTATGTAAAATATTACAATCAATAAATGTATTTATTAAACCCTTTTAACCTAATAGATATAATTATCTTCTAAAAAACTAAACATAGAACATGAATAAAATAAACAACAAAACTTCAATAACTTGGAAAACACTGTCCGTTTTCAGATTCAAAAAAATTTAACAATACTGTTCTGATAGAAATTGTTTCGAAAAAAGTTGTTAACAATTGTGGTCGCTTAATAATTAAATACTGCTAGTGGACGGATTAAAAAAAAACAATCATAACGACAACAACACTAAGACGAGTTGCTGGGACTGGGTGTAGTTCTCGGAACATGCGGCTGAGCTCCATGACAGTGAGCACAATGCATACATACGACACAGTTTCCCAACTTTTGCGCCAAGACTGCCCGGAATTTAAGAGCTGGTCCTAATTTCATGTTCATCGTGCCAGTCAGATGATCTTCACTGAGCAATGGAAGAGCGGTGCCGTCGACCGACTGATCTCGAAAACGCTGTAAACAAATAAAAAAAACAATTAATTATTAAAATTAAAATTGACAACCGAAAAACAAACCACTTGAAATTATTCATAGAGCTTTAATATCATGTTACATATCAGTGGAATATAACTAAATTACAATTACAAAATTATACATTTTATATTAAAATTATACATTATACATTAACAACGAGTTTTAATCGAATTTTCAGAACAACTTCAGGAACAATTGTGCTTTACAGTTGAAGTTATTTTCTCTCGTATGTGATTCAACGGAAGTTTTCCATTATTATGAAGAGTTACAAAATTCATCGCTGGCGTAGTTGTTATGACACCGTAAAAAAATAAAGTGAACTATTTCACAATCAAAAATGTTTACTACTGTAGACCACCGAGTACGTCCAAACAAAACGAATATAACTTATTTAACCTACTGAACTATGTTTTAATGGCCTTTCGTGGTATGCCAAATATTATTTTCTTTTCGTTACAAATTAGTCAATATTTCCAAAGTAATAAATAGGGTGAGACATGCGTGTGGTTATTTTCGAATGCCTAGTAGATAGAAGTAGATGATNGTTATTTTCGAATGCCTAGTAGATAGAAGTAGATGATTTAAAAATCTCTTTAAAATAAAATCCGAAAAATTCAATTACGAAAAACACACTCGTTTGCGCGATACATTTTGAAATGAAAAATATGACGAATACTATCTA